CAGCCTGGCGAGGAGGAGGCGACCCGGTCGGAACCGGTCCCTGAGAGGTGGGCAGGGCCGAGGCGGTGGCGGCGGCGGCGGCGGCGGCGGCGACTCGCTGCTGCTCTCCTCCCCTGCTTTGACCACCATCTTATTAGTACAGGAAATGACATGGAAAACGGAAGAAAGCGGCGTTTGGGGCAGACGCGGACCCCCCAATTCAGGGGCCGGAGCCGGGACTCACCAGCCGCGTCCCAACCCGGCCCCGGAGAAAACTCCCGGGGCCCCCTCCGCCCCCGCCCCGCACGCGGCCCACGGGGGGAAACCTAGCTCCTCGAACCCAAAAGGAGAGGGCGAGTTTTATAATCCAGCCCGCGGAGAAATCGAGAAAAAATAAATAAATGAAAAAAGAAAAGGTTAAAAGAACTTTCGAACTGGGACACTTTTTTTGATCGGAATTAAAAGTTCTGGAATTTAAAAGTCATTCCGTAGGGGGGCACTCCCTGGATCTCTGGGTCCGGTCGCTGCACAATTTGAACCAAATGGTCAGGGGTAAATACGTTTTTATTTTTAACCCTTTCGAGGCTCCGCAGCAGGCCCCCTTCTGGTCCCGTTTAACCCTTTGAATGCCCATCTGTTTGGAGATACAAACTAAAGTTGTAAAACGTGGGCGTCCCGCTGAAAGCTGAGGGTAAGGGGCTTGGGGGTGCGTTTAAAATGTTAACTATTTACGTGGGGCCGCGGTTTTAAAGTCGCGAACGGCCGGAGCTCTTCAACTCGAAATTTGTTACAGGTGTTGAGATTCTGAAAACCGGACGGGCTGGTCTCTGGCTGGCTTGGAACAGATGTTTAAGCTTTGCAACCTTGCTCGGTTCCTCAGTTTCTCCACCTGTGAAATGGGATTCAATGTCACAGAGAGACTGAAAGCGAGGAAAAGACGGAATTTTCATAAAGACAAAGCGCTTGAAAGTCTAAAAGTCTTCCTTTGGCGCCTGGAAAATCCACGGGCGGTGATGGGGTTAGAGGATACCGCGAGATGGTGTAACCAGGGCAACCATTCCCGAAATAACTTTTCCTTGGTGTTGTCTGCAAGGTACTAGTGGCAGAACTGTCCTCTATCAAGGAAGGCTGTGCTGGGCTGGCTCGTAGACAGGGGCCCATACCTCCCAGGGAGAGGTTACTGGGCGGGATTCCATCCCAGGAAGGTGCCTGGAACTGCACAGAGAGGGGCTGGCAGGCCTCACCACAATGTCCATCCAAGCCCTGCAAAAGCTAGCACAGGTGGCCTCAGGTACCACCCTGGGGAGGACTCCTCCCAAGAGGATGGCACACCCTATAAACCTCACTACAGGCTGGGTGCCTGGCCCTAGAACATAGCTTCTTGAAATTCCACGTCTGTTACTTGCTGTGCGATCTTGAGTAAGTGACTTACCCTCTCTGAGCTGCAGTTTCCTTATCCATAAAGTGGGGTGTACTAATAACCCACATTGCCGGCTCTGTGTGAGGAACCATGACAGCAGGTCGCTGGTTCAGGGACCCAGGTCTGAGGACCTGCCACTCCACACTGTAAACTGTGGCACATGACTTTTCCTGTCTGGGCTCCACTTTCCTTCTGCGTGACACAAGGAGTTTGTCCCAAGGGTCCTACATTCTGCCCTTAAGAAGCTTCCCCATAGGCATGTAATCAAGACCAAGGCACAAGGAGGGATCCTGTACAAGGCTGGGAGGGTTGCTGGAACCGTCTCAGAAGGGAAGCCCAGGGCGGCCCAAGGTTGACACAGGTGCTCCGGGTCAGGGTGGGCAGAAAGTGGCCCTGGGGCCTGAATGTAGTCACCAGACAAGTGGTCTGGACCTGGTAGGTCTTGCGAGGCTGTGCTTCCCTCTGTGGGCTTCCTTCTGTGAGTGAGTTTTAAATGAAACTTAGAAGTAGGGGTGGGGTGGGAGCTCCGCTCAAAATCCCTGAGAACTAGTAGGGGAGAGGGGGAGAGGACTGGATGAAGAGAGCACGTGATACACACTTTTAGGGACACTACTTTTTGACTCAATAATCCAAGGCAGATATTATAACTGTTTTTACAGACAGGGAAACCATGCTCAGAGAAGTTAAGAAACTTGCCCGAGGCTACACAGCTAGAGGTAGGATAAGACTCAAACCCAGGTCTGCCTGACTCTTTGCTCACAGTCTTCCACTCTTGAACATTTCTGATTCGTTGTCCTTTTCCATATGCAGCCTTTCAACCTAATGGTTGATAAAATACTTTCCTAATTTCTCCTTTGGGCATATCATGCAAAAGGAGCTGACCAAACGTTGTCATGTGAGGTCAGATACTTCATGACCTCCCCCTGCAAAAATTGTGCTAACAATTCCGTCACCTCCAGGTCCCTGTGAGGACATTGAGATGCTCTAAAGGAATGAAACTCAGCTCTTTGGAAGGAAAAGCTAATATGTGGCCTTTTTTACCTACTAATGATGATGCTCAAGCAGAATATACGTCCAATGAGCTGCAAGTGAAAGGCCTCTGTCACTGGAGATTCACTTTCCCATTTGCTGTAAAACAAGGACGATGTTTATTGCATTAATTAATGACCCTCATAAAGCCTCACTGGAAAAATTTTATTCAGGATTTAGTGCCTGGAAAAAACTAACACTGACAACCAACTGCATTTCCCTCGAGGAACTGGCAAACATCTCCCTTGCTAATAAGAAGAGCTCTGTAACTGATCAGTTTTTCCTTTTTGCACAGGCTGCCAGGAAGCTCAGAGCCAAATTCCAGCCCCATTCCCAATAACTTTGGCAGTTGCTTCCTCCTCATTCCTCCCTTCCCACTTCTAATCCTACTCACTTCGCTTTGTTTCCTCTACCTTTTATTAAAGATGTCCCCCTTTTTAATTGCAAAATAATAAATGTTTATAATAAATTCACATTTGGAAGAGTTGTTGAAAGGAAATGGATTCCATGGGTCTTGTGTTAAGCCAGGCACAGTTCTGTTCTGGTCTGGTCTGGTCTGATCCAGCAGCTGAGGGATCCCTCTCTTGGAAGGAAGGAAGGTCTGGCTTAAGACCAAGGGATTCCTCACCCAGCTGCCGATGACAGCTAAGATCAAATGCCCTGGGCAGAACATCATTGCTATTTTCCGCTCTTATGACAAGCTGCTTGCCTCTCTCCTGCCGGCTCCCCAGGAAGCACAAAACACTATCTCCTGCCCATCCCCCCGAGGGGGTTCCCCCATTAGACCCTCCTGTTGACACATGGCAGGGAACAGATTCCTTTTTTCTTCATAAGCTATTGTCACTTACAGACCACTTAACATGTGCCCAGCACGTGATTGGAGTGGAGGTAGAGGATATAGGGTGGGGGTGAAGGAGCCCCTTTAGACCATGAGGACAAGGAAGGCTTCTCTGAGGAGGTGGCATTTCAGTGGGAGTCCTGACAGATGCGAAGGAGCCAGCCCCACAAGAGCCGAGTGAAGAGTTCCTCGCAGGGCACGCAGCCCATGCAAAGGCCTTGAAACAGGACCTAGCTGGGCTTGTGGTACGAGGTGGCCGAGACCAGTGCGCCTGGAGTGCAATGTGGAGGGAGAGACAGGGATGGAGACGAGGGGGACACGTGGGTAGGATCTGAGCCACGCTTTTCTACGGTTCGGATTTACCTAAATTGCAATGGGAGCCACTGGCAACTTTACAGCTGGGGAGATGCAGGACCCGATTTATGTTTTCACACAATTACCTCGGCTACCATGTAGCTTCTGACATTTACCGAGTGCCGGATGAGTAAGTAGGCATGTTCACAAACCATCTTATTTAATTATCCCCACATTAGAGATGAGGTTGATGTGAACACGTCCCTTTTTTTCTGGCTGTCCAGCATCCGCATGAACGGGATCGGTGCCCTTACGAAAGTGACTCCAGAGGGTACTCTCGTGCCTTCCACCATATGAAGGCACAGAGAGAAGCCGGCTGTTTATGAACTAGAAAGTTCTCACCAGACGCCAAATCTGCCAGTGCTTTGATCTTGAATTTCTAGCCTCCAGAACTAAACACGTCCCTTTTTTTCTGGCTGTCCAGCATCCGCATGAACGGGATCGGTGCCCTTACGAAAGTGACTCCAGAGGGTACTCTCGTGCCTTCCACCATATGAAGGCACAGAGAGAAGCCGGCTGTTTATGAACTAGAAAGTTCTCACCAGACACCAAATCTGCCAGTGCTTTGATCTTGGATTTCTAGCCTCCAGAACCGGGAGAAATAATTTTCTGTTGTTTATAAGCAGCCCGAAGGACTAAGACACCCAGCCTCCCTGAAGGTAAGGCACAGTACGTGATCAAGAATCAGCCAATCAGATGCATTATCCTGACCTCGAATTGAAGCTAGTGACACATAGAGGCATGGACGATAAACAGTCCTTTCTAGTGAGAGTGGGGACGCAATATAGTCAGTTTTCAGGGGCAGGGTGCCAGTGGCTGAATCCAGCAGAGCTGGTGGACTGCTAGTGCCAGTTATATAGTACCTGCTGGTCAGTGTTGGGCAGCGTCCTCACTGCACTTACTCCGTGGCATGACCTTGGCTGTGGCTTTGGCTCTGTGTACCCCACACCTGGTTCTACAGCCTTTCAGAGGGTCATGAGCTACCTGATAGCCTTTCAACATGTTTCTCATTTGCTTAAATCAATATACTAGTTATCTATTGCTGCATAACAAATGACCCCCAAACTTAGCAGCTGAAGACAACAAACATCTATTATCTCACAGTTTCTGAGAGTCAGGAATTCTGGGAGCAGCTTAGCTGGATGTTTCTGGCTCAGAATCTCTCATGAGATTAGTCAAGCTGTCATCTGGGGCTGTGGTCATGTGAAGGTGTGCCTGGGGCTGGAGAATCTACTCCCAGACTTCCTCACGTGTAGGGTGACCAACCGTCCAGGTTTGCCCCGGGTGTGAGGAGGTTTCCCAGGACACGAGACTTTCAGCTTTAAAACTAGGCCAGTCCCAGGCAACTCTGGGGCAGTTGGTTGCCCTGATCATGTTGGCAAGAGGCCTCGGATCCTCACTGTGGGCATCTCAATAGGACTGCTCGTGACGTGGCAGCTGGTCTCTTCCAGAGTGAATGGGACAGGGAGGCAGGCAAGCTGCAATCTTTTATAACCTAATCTCAGAGTGATGTACCATCACTTCTGTCATTTCTCCTGGCCACACAGCCCAGCCCTGGTACAGTGTGGGGGGACTACATGAAGGAGTGAATACTAGGAGGGATCACTGGGGGTCATCTTAGAGGCTGGGGACCCAAACCAGCCAGAGCGATTTCTGTTGCTTGTAACATTAAGATGTAAGAAGTTATGTAACCTATAGGGGATTTGCACAGCTGTTCTCGAGAATTTTTAATAATAGAAATAGCCAGGGGAGCAGGCAAAAGAAACCCTCAGCTCTCAGGTGAGTGTTGGCTGTAGAGCTGGCTTTGCAAACCGCCCTCGGTCACAGACAAGGCCTTGGAAGGCTGGCGAAGTCAAAGAAGTTGGATATTTTGATCTGAGTGCTAGTTGTGGAGCGCAGCTTCCAAACCTGAGAGTCTGAGTGATGCCTTCCATTTCGGGGTACTTCGGTTATGTAGGGTGTTGGAACTGATGGTTTCTACATCTCTCTCTAAGTCTCGGTCTCCTCATCTGGAAATTGGGTTAGGAATGTTGGATCCAATCATCATTCAGAAGATAAAATGTGTTTCTGGTTTTGTTCTTTTCTTCTTGTCCATTAGAGAAAAGGAGGGATGGATGGAAATTGAGGCGAGAGAGAGACTGCTTTTCAATCCCAGGAAACTCTAAGATAAGACTCCCAAATACCACACATTCTGAAACCTGCAGGACCCCATGCAGTTGAGCGGGGCAGGCGAGATTCAGGACTACTGTATGGAACCACATAGAGACAGATTTCAACTTCAGGAAAGAAAAAAGACTGCCTAAGAAACTGAGCCCTCTCCTCCTGCCCTCCAGCAAAAGGGACTGTCACTGCAAATGGTGAGCTTCCTGTTACTGGGAGTATGCAAGCCAGGGGTAGGGCTCTTCTGGAGGTAATTCATGCCCAGATCAGATATTAAGTTTGATGAGCTCCAGAGTCCCCATCATTGGTGAATATTCTTCATCCTAGGAATAATGCTAAGCTGTGGGCACTGTTGTGAAGACAGAGCTCTGGCCTGGAGTCAAGCAATGTGGGTTCTGGTCTCCCCCCCCACCTCCCGCCCCCCACTGCTGTTTGGCTGCTGGGAAACTACAGTCAGGTCCCACACCTGCTCAGAGCCAAAGTCTCACCATCCGTAAAACAAGGCACCAGTTTCCACATGCCAGTCCATGAAGCCACCTCTGTCAGAGAACTTTACCCTGGTCCTTGGGAAAATGGAAACCGCAAAGCAATACAGATCTTTCTCATAAAGCGAAATCTATTCAATTTACAGGACCATCTTTTATCCTGAGATTGTGTGTTCCCTATCATTTTGGTGTTTAAAAGTCTTCTTACGAATTGATATGTAAAAGATGGAGACAGTTTTGTGGCCTTCCGTGACAAAATAAAAAGTTAACAAATATATAGTAGTTCCCTCAATTATTTTGGAATGTACATAAAATTAAAAATATGGGAGTCACTAGATTAAGTGATTCCAAATAACTTCCAACGTTGTTTCTCCCTCTTTCCCCCCTTTCCTTCATCTCCTCCCTCAGCCATCCATCATCCATCCCTGAAACATATATCGAAGATCTACTATACACCAGATACTGGAGCCGCCGCCCACATGAAGCTCACGGTTCCCAGGAAAGACCAACATAAAGGCATGTAAACAAATAGATATTTAGGTTACTTCATATTTTTCTATCATCAAACTGCTGAATTAGATGTACTTAGAAGTGTATTTTGTGTTTATCTCTTATTATTATTCCCTTGGAATATGTTGCAAAGGTGGAGGTTCAGGGTCAGAACGTATGCCCAGCTTACGTCCTGAAACATTTTGCCAACTCACCCTCCAAAAAGATAGCACCAGCATCAATTTTCATTGACTTTGTACGAGCGTGCTTGTTTCTCCACATTCTTACAATATATATCACCCATCTGCTTAATCTTTGGTAACGTGATGTGCAAGTGATATATAGCTCACCGTTGTTTTAAATCACATGTATTATTCGCAAGATGAGCATATTTTCACATATTTAGTAATCTTTTGTGCTTCTCTTGTGAATTACTTGATCATACCTTTTGTCCTTATTAAATTAGGGACCTTGTGCATTTCATGGATTTGTAAATGTAGTTTCCATATTAAGAATAACAAAAGCCTTTGTAATATATAATGCAATTTATTTTTTCAGTTCAGACATTTTTTTGCAAATTTATTTATGATGTTTTTTGCTAGATAGAAATTTAACTGTTTTCTGTTTTTTCTTTATGGTTTTGTTGTCATAGAAATACCTTAAGAAAATTATTAAAACATTCTTCTAGACTTTTTTCTAATTTTCTTTTGTTTAAATATTGGATCCACCTAGAAATTATTTTGGTGCAGAACATAATGTAGGAATCTGACTTTATTTTTTTTCCTTAATGTATAGCTAGTTGTCCCAACACACTTATAGAATAATTCATCTATTTCTCATTGTTTTACAGTGCCATTTGTATATCATGTGATAAATTTTCATGTCATCATATGCCTATTTCTTATCTTTCTGGTATGTACTGATGATCATTAGTCTATTTGTACAGTTCCAACCTGTTTAAATTACTGTAGCTTTACAGTACATTCTAATATTAGTTAGGGCATAGCCCCCACATTCCCTTATCTTTTTATTTAAGAACTTGGTCAGCTCCCTAAAGGTGGGATTTTAATTCTTAGCTGGTTTTCACCTCCATATTCTTAAGTTTTATGCTCATATTTCTAGCTCTTGTTTAATCCATTTAAGACATTTTCTATTGATTTTCTGACATGGTAGATGAGAGTCCTTCATTCATTTATGTTTCGTTCTCCCCGAGGCCCCTTACCTACCACCACCATAGGCTCAATCTTGTTGGGTCTCAAATTGGGTTGTGTCTTTACTCAGTGTTTTCATGATAATGGCCATGTGAATACTGTGAACTGCTGAGCCAAAGACACCCTGTAATTAAATTCCCTCTATCTTACAGGAGTTTTTTTTTTCTTTCTTAGAATTCATAATGGACTCATCTTTTTTCATTTGCTTAAGTCATTTGTGAGCATCTGAGATTTTACATGCCTTCCAACACTGTGGAACGCTGTTCACTACAATTTTCAACATTCTCAAACCTGTTAGATGATGTATCAGAACCTTTTGTTTTTACCTAGAGACTTCTTTTTACCTATAGCAGGGATCAGCAAACTTTCTGAGAAGAGTCAGATAGTGAATAGAATAGGCTTTTTGGCTACCTATGGTCTGGTACATAATCTTGGTTTGGGGGTTTGGGTATGCTTTTTTTTTTTTTACAACACTCTACTCAGCATGTTTTGAAATTTATTTCTATTATTGCTTGAACCAGCAGTTTGTCCATTTTTAGTACTGAGTAGCATTCCATTCCATTGATATACCACAATTTCTGCTTTTTTATTGTACTTTCTGGGTGAATTCCATGACCTTATCTTTGAACATTTAAACTTAAAAAAATAAAAAGCTCTCTTATTTTACATTTCCATCAAGAAACAAGACTTCTCATTCTTGGTTTATTATAGCTTCCTTTATTTTTAATGGATGCAATGTTGTCTCTTCTCCAAGAATATCGTTTCCCTCCATTCTTTGTTTTATCTGCTCCTTCAAGTTTTTTCTCAAGATTTTTCTCAAGTTTTTTCTTTCATGTTGGGGGTTTCTTCAAATGTCCAGTGATCCTTGGCTACCTTTTCAATTTTGAGGGTGAGGCACTAAATAGGCCATGTGTGGGCCTGAGTGGGTGGATCTGTAGACGGGGCTCACTAGAGGCTGAGGCTGGCCAAATCCCTGGGCATGTGTGTGTCCCAAAGGGCGATCTTTACAAAGAACCAGCCTCACTCTCCCGCCAGTGGGTGTGTGTGTGAGGGGTGGGACCAGGTGGGAGTTGGGGCTAATAAGTCTAATCCTGAGCTGACTTCAGAATGATGCCAGATCAGAGAGACCTCTAATTTTGGACTTGAGTGGAGGAGAAGCTGGACTTCTCCATACTCATGTTTTCCATTCAACACCTTCTCAACCTTCTCAGTGCCTGGTGAAGCCACGCTAGGTCACTCTGTGTGTCCATTTCTCTCAGAAAGGCAATCTCTCTAGCGGGCGGCAGGGACAGGAGAAGGATCGCCCCTTGACCGCCATGGGCGGGGTAGGGATGGGCAATCTGGGGGTCTCACTGCTTCCTGTATAAGCTTTTGAAAAGGATCCCTATATTGTCACCACAGGCTTCACCTCAACATTCTAAGGGGCCTGGTCCCTCCTATACCTGAGGTTTTTTTCACACTTCCTCCTTTCATCCAGGATGGGTTTCGTGTTGTGTTTTTTCTTCTCCTTGTTTGAGGCTGATCTTTAGGATGGGAAGAGACGGAGGGCTTTTCACCACAACTTAGCAGGCACCCATTAATCTTAAAAAGAAAACTGTGTCCTGTTGTCCAGTTATTATTCCAGGTAAAATTTAGAACAAAGTCAAAAGTTTCCCCTTCTTTCCACCACCCCCCTCAAAAATATCCCATTGGGATTTTCTTAGACTTTATTTTTTTAAAACAGTTTTCGATGTACAGAAAAATGGAGAACATACTACGGAGAGTTCCCATACACCCCTCACCCAGTTTCCCGTCATCAGCATCTTACATTAGTATGGCGCATCGGTCACAATTAATGAACCAATATGGATACGTTACTATTAACTAAAATCCACACTTTATTCAGATTCCCTTAGTTTTTTTTTTTTTTTTACCTAAAGTCGTTTTTCTGTTAGGATTCCATCGCATTTAGTCAGCATGTCTCCTTGGGCTCCTCTTGGCTGCGACAGTTTCTCAGACTTTCCTTCTTTTCGATGACCTCAGTTTTCAGGAGTATTGGTCAGGTGTTTTGTAGAATGCTACTCTATTATAGTTTATCTGATGCTTTTCTCATGGTTGGACCGGGATTACGGGTTGAGGGGCGAGGGGAGAAAGCTATTGGGATTTTGATGGAATGCCATTAAATTTATAGGATAATTTGAGGAGAACTGACATGTCCACAATATCAAGTTTTCCTTTAGGGATGTGGTGTATTTCTGCATTGTAGTCAAGGCTTCTTTTATGAGCTTCAGTGAAGTTTTATCGTTTCCTTCTTATACACCTGACATATTTGTTGTTAGGTTTCTTTCGAGGTATTTTGATAGCTTTTGCTGCTACTGTGAGTAGGATCTTTTTCAATTACATTGTTTTTTTTTCTAAATAGTCCTTGCTGTTTATTCATTTTTATAAATTTATATTCTGACTAGCTATCTTACTAAATTCACATACTGTTTGTAATAGTCCTGAGTTGATTCTCTCGATCTTTTTTTGATAGATAAGAATATCTCATGCAAGTAATGTTGCCTTTCTTTTTAAATATTTATGAATCTTACTTCATTGCCCTCTATTATTGCATTAGTTAGAAGCTCCAAAACAATGGTGATTAAGAGTGGAGACAGCAGGCATCTTTGTTTTATTAGCGATGCCAACTTTTCACTTATTTTTATGATATTTGCTATAGGTTTCTGACCATCTCTCTTATATTTCGGAAATGTCCTCCCATTCCTATTTTTAGTAGGAGGTTATATTAGGAATACAAATTGAATTTCATCAGTGCCTGTTTTGGTA